TAGTCATTCTATGTTATCGCGCGCGTCACAGCTTCCTCTTCTCAATGATCACAAATCTTGTAGCTACAACATTGTCTTTAAGCTGATGAGCCAATATTCAATAGTTGATATTTATAACCTCAGTCAATTCGTAATAATACAAGACAATCATCCTTTTCCACCAGTTATACCTGTCTCACACCTGACACATTTAAACTCTATCAGACTCGGTTGCTTCCCGGAACTTTGAGAGCTTATCTTAAACGTAATGACTTGCGAGCACATTAATATTAGTGTAATAGGTTTATATCGATTAACTTGACAATATAAGAGATGAAAATCAATGTACCTCTATATGAATTTAAGACAGATTTTCATGAATCTGGTAATTTACAAACAGAATAAACTGATACTGTTGATGGTAGCGCTAAAAAAATATGGAGGTGTTATTTTTGTCTAACATTCTGTATGTCAAAATTTTTTTTAACCCATTCATACATTTCAAATATTTACATGGACAACCGCTTCACCTGTTAACAATATATCTATTATTATTATTACTTTAGTAATAATGACAAAGTAAACAATATAGCGACAGAAAATGAAAAGAACAAGGGAACAAATAAATACAAAGAATTTAAATTTATTATTAAAAAAAACACAAAGACCGATGAAAACACAGACATTCATAAAATAGATATCATTATTGACAAAGTAACAACAAGAATTAGGAAATTTAAAAAAAATTCATAGTGAAACAGGTATTTAGTAATGTTTTATTATTTTTTTTGTGTGGTACATAGCTACTAAAATGTTACACCCCCTGAAACAATTGATAATTTATTACCAACATTTATATTTTATTTTGCATCTCTCCCTACCTCCCTCCCCCACTCTCTCTCTCTCTCTCTCTCTCTATATATATATATATATATATATATATATATATATATATATATATATATATGGTAGTGTAAATACAACCTAGATAACAGTAAATTAAGTAAGCTTGAGAGAAAATAATTCAAATTACCAATAATACGAAGATTACCGTCATTTTGTTATTAGAAAAGTTAAGATATGCCAATAAATTCACACTTTTCAATACCACAAGTTTTAAGTATACCAAATTAATAATAATAATAATCAGTAATCACAATTGATTGATCACTGGGTGGTGATTACATCTCAGTCCTACAGGAGGTTAGTCACGGCTCGGATAGCTCAGTGGTAACGTCTCTGACTGTGAAGCTGGGTGACACGAGATCGAATCCGCCAGGGAGCACCAGTTCCCTCAAGATTACAGGTACACCTTGCTGACGAGTGCCAAGTAGCACGAAACCCCGGTCCAGGGTTTCCTGTTGACTACCTCCAACCACCATCAAATCTCAATAATCAGTAGTTTCATTTTTTCAGGTCAAGGTTATCATTAATACTCTCAATGTTCAAAACATGTTATCCATTTACACGTTTGGTCAGGTTTTGTTACTTGATTGGATGAGTACTGCATAATGAAGTGTAGTTTTTATAGAGGATTTCGTTTCAAGTAGTTAAATATATTCAGCATCGCTGCTATAAACATTCCATATGTATTGCGGTTCAAGAAGTAGGACAATAAACTAAAATTAAATAAAAATTAAGGCTTAAAATAAAGTCTCCGATGAAAATTACACTTTTATATGTAACATTCACTTACTAAATAAATGAAAAAAATGTTTGAAAGCATTAGTTGGAACACGCTCATAGAATATTAAAAAGATTGAAAGTAAACCTAGTCATCCGTTCACACTATGATGATTCAGTAATGGTAACTTGTGAAAAATTAATCTTTTTATCCATAATGTTGTGGAGATTGTTGAGTTTTGAGTTCACGAATCAATCAATGTTAGATGACCATTAAAAACACGGAAGCATTTAACCACCGTTTCTTTCTAGTATGGGACTCATCAACAGTGTGCATCCACGCTTCCGCACGCGGAAGTCGAACGCAGGAACTTCTAATACTTCCAGGTTTTCAATGTTGATCTAACATTGATTGATCCATGATCTCAATTAATCTTTATAGTTTATTTTCTTTAATCATCAGCTGGATTAAATGTTAAGTCTATAACTTCGTTATCAATTTATAGTAAGGAATGAATATTTACAAAAAAGCTATACATAACTTACTGATAAAATTCAGTAAACTAGAATTACTTCTCCTTAGTTACAAAAGAAATTATCTAAGGCTGATCATTTAGTTAAATATTGGAATACAATAGTAGTTATTGTATTCAGTTGATGCAACAGTTAATAGAAAATTAATATTTAAAAGGAAAAAAAAGATTAATATCAGTCATTTTTGAAATGATCTCATTATTTAGAGACAGTTCCACGATAATTTTCTTTTGCCAATTTCCCTTAATTACTCATTTAAGAAATCGATTGGAAATTTATATACACCGTAATTTATAGTAGTTCATTTGAAATTTTATATTCTTGTATGTAGTCTAACACATGCGAATTTATTACTGTTAATGTTATTGCAAAGGTTATGGAGAATGCAAAATGTTTAGTAACATTTTTACCAATGAATAAACGATGATATATGTTGTATCTTGGTTATCAGTGACCAATAAAATCTATCAATGTCAATCCTTATATTATTGATTTATCGATTATGCTATTCACTTACTCTTTAGTAGTTAAGTGCATACCTAAAAAATGGTTAAATGATTTTTTTTAGTTTAACAATGAAACTTATTAACTCGTTTATAAATAACTTCTTTTAAAAGAAATGTCATTAATGATTATCAGTGGATGTATTTTTAAGGTATAGAATGATCTTCATTATTTCTAAGGTTATTTCATGTTTTATAGATTGGTTTTAAAGGTTATAAGTAGCAGATTAATACGGTCAAAGATGAATGGTGGCTAGCAGTGGAATGCAGAAAGAGCACTTCGTCTTATTCGAGACTCATCAGCTGGATATACCTGCATTCTAGATTAGATGTTCACTCTGGGACTGGAATCCAGTACCGTTCGCTCCAGATGCCATTACATTATCCACTTAGCTAGTAAGTCCCGATAGTTACTAGCTTGTACAATGTAGTGAAGTGTAAATTTATTTTGCATACAATGCATGCGACTTAACACAATACTGAGGCAGTCCTCAATGGATACACATATGCCAATAACAGACTGATCGATTGCAGTCCTAACCATCAATGGGAATATTCAAATAAACAATACAAAATGAACTTAAACTTCACTCGATTGTATAAGCCAGGACTCAATAGCTGAATGGATAACGAGATGGCGTTTGAAGTGAACGGTACTGGGTTCGAGTCTTAGAGTGAACATTTACCCGTAACCATCAATGAGAATATTCAAAAAAACAATATCAAATGAATTTGACAGATTATTAACTTCTGCACAATAGTGTGTCATTAACTCATGAAAATACTGCAGTTCCCAAATAAAATAATTAATAGATCACTATGTAAAACTATAATTAACGTTTCAACTCTCAATAACTTGCCTATTTACTATTTACAAGAAACACGATTTCACATATTCACTTATTAAAAGGCAACATATTGTCAGCTATTTTATTATTATTATTATTATTATTATTATTATTATTAGCTTTATTCAATATTATAATTTTGGTACAATATAGAATTCTCAGCGCAAAGTATTTCAACAAGTTTCCGTTTCTTTCTTCTTGGTCGGTCCTGGCGATAAATATTGAGGAATCGCCAGTTAGATGTTAGCACTTCAGTGAATGAACAACTGAATAATGTACATTCTTTTCGTTGTACATTGCCAGCAACCATATGGTCTCTTATTGAGTTTTCTGTAACTCTGACAACGAAAGGTTGTACACTTTTCAGAAACGCAGCAGAATAGGTTATGCGATTAATAAACATAATGATATATTAAAACAAACAACAATAGATAACTTGTTGAAATATCTAGATGGCAGGAACAGGTAGCCCAGATGCTCAAGCAGGCCGCCCTAGGGGAAACATATTGTCAGCTATTTTATGGTCATATACAACTATTCTATTTGACAATTAAGAATTTTTTTAAAATAATAAGAAACATGGGATATAATTTAAGGGATAAGTTACCTGGTTACGTCACTTCCATGTGTATCTACGACTTCAGCTACTCCTGTAGAGAAAGTTATATTGAGCTCACTACCAGACAACTGAACCAAAGAGTTAATGAATACCTCCCTTCGTGGTTTGGTAAAGGTAATGTCAATACAATACACAGCTTGGTTCTATCACACTTGATTGATAGCAATCATGTAGTGTACAGAAACAAGTCATTTAAATTTATTTATCGTATTCCTACTAGTTTTCTTTATAGTGTCCGATCTCATCTCTTACACGTAGCAGCAACTACAGTAATTTAAACATACCTAGATCTTTTCTTCTTGTTTTTCTCTTTGATTAATGATTTACCGGTCATTTTAATGTTTGAATAAGAGTGAACTTAGTTCACATGATGAGGTGTGAATAAATATATAAATTACTGATGTAATAAATTATCCTCTATCCGGTCAATAGATGATGTGATATGTATTAATCAGTAACCGTATGAAATACGATTATTATTTATGATAAATATGTTGGTTACTAATTAAGTGAACAGCGAAAAAAAAGCAAAAAAATGTGAAAATTTTTTAGACGTTTTAAAATAAATCATTACACACATGGTAACTGAATTAAGATTATAGTAAGAAAGAAAGAAAGAAAGAAAAAAACTGTCAATGTAAATCTTGTGAACAATTTGTTTTGTTTGTTTTTTTCCACTTCAATGTATGATATCCAAATTGAAATTCTTTACCGTTTACTACTCATTATTATATTATTCAATTAAAACTATGGAATTCATTAAGTAATTCATAAAAAAATATATAAATGATTAGTAAGTAATTATATTGGGACTTATTTATGATTAGTCCCTTCAAAGTAAGTAGTTAAGTAATTAGGTAAAGGGTTATTGTTCTTAAAATGATTAACCGACGTTTATAGATTATTATTATTGTTATTATTATCAGTAGTAGTAGTAGTAGTAGTAGTAGTAGTAGTAGTAGTAGTAGTAGTAGTAGTAGTAGTAGTAGTAGTAGTAGTAGTAGTAGTAGTAGTAGTAGTAGTAGTAGTAGTAGTAGTATTCATGTGCTTCCAATAGATATGTGTGAAACATTAGTATAACTAATAACGTTGGAATGATACATGCATAAATAAATTATAGAATGTCAAGTTCAAGGTAGTTTTTTATACTTTTGTATTGCATACACTAATGAGTTATAATTTACTTCTAACCTTTACGAAATAATGTGTTTTTCTTGGCTTAATTGTATATATACATTCAGACTAAATACTGAAAGATATGATTATTACTGTAAATTTGATTTATTTAGTACCTTGGCAAAATAAATTAGTCTCTAACGTAACACATGTATATTCTAATACGAAGTGTTATCCGGTTGTTTTTTTTTCACAAGAGATTCGTAATATGATAAAAATTCTCATTATTAACATTCAGCTGAAGAGTCTCACATTGGTCGAAATGCGAGTCCTGGATTCCACTGTTAAACACAATTCATCTTTACTTAGATTTACTACAACTTTTAATATTAAAATTTCATTTATTTCATATTTCTCATAATCAGTTATTTGTTCAAGCGGTTTAAATAATATAGTTCATCAGCTTTTAAAGATATAGAGATTTACAGAAGTTTACATCAATTTATGTATCTACACTTTATATAAACGTAACGGTAAGGAATCAACTGAATAAAAGTCAAATAAAGCAATTTAAATATATTAATGTAATTGATAAGCTTAACAAATAGAGTAGAATTCCTAAGGAACAAATTCAAATGACGAACTGTGATTATTATTTGAAAGGAGACAAACAATAAATATATCTATGATTTTGTAACTGAATAATAAAGTTCAACTATAAATTGCAATTATCACGTCGACTATAACTATGATCTTTAAATTGTTAAACTTCATCAAATGATCTAATGTCATGGTGTGATCGTCATCTAACTTTTGGTTAAAATGAAAATAAATTTAAGCGATGCTTTTTGTTTGAATTAGTAACTATTTTTACCATTCAAAAGGAATATCTCATGTTCGTTTACTTAATTAATTACATCTGTTACCCCTCATGTAGGAGCATAGGTCGCCCACCAGCATTCTCTATACAACTCTGTCCTGGGTAATCCTTTCCAGTTGTTTCTAGTTGTTATTCATCCTTTTCATATCTGCTTCAGTTTCCAGACGTAATGTGCTTTTTTGGTCTTCCTTTTTTTCGTTTCCCCTCAAGATTCCAAGTTAGCGCAGGCCTCGTGATGCAGTTTGGTGATTTCCTAAATGTGTGTCCTATCCACTTCCAACGTCTTTTCCTAATTTCCTCTTCAGGCGGAAGCTAGTTTGTTATCTTCCACAGTAGGCTGATGCTGATGGTATCCGGCCAATGGATGTTGAGTATCTTGCGCAGACAGCTATTTATAAATACTTGTACATTTTTGATGATGGTTGTAGTGGCTTTCCACGTCTCAGATCTGTACAGTAGAAATGTCTTGACGTTCGTATTAGAGATTCTGAGTTGGCTGACAGTGTTTTGGAATGAATGGTCTGATAAAAATTGGGCACAGACTATATATATATATATATATATATATATATATATATATATATATATATACCAACAGCGAATTTCTGAGTGAGTCAATCCTTCAAATTTAACAAACTAATATTTCAAACACTGATGATATACTAACCACCATGATTTACAGTATATATTGTGGAACAGTGGCTCAGTGATCAAGACACTCGACTTTCAGCTACTAAGTCGTAGGTCTAAACTCCGATTCACGTACTTTGGTTTGGATAACTAGGTTGTATCACTAACTCTCACATGTATAGTATGGATCAAAGCCAAATACATGAATCCGTACCTGATAAATGAGTCGACCATAATGCTAATAATAATAATATGCACGAGAACCTGTTTAGTTGAAAATAGGTTAAGTTCATATATAGATGTTACATTCTATAGTGAGAATTCAATTCGAAAGAAGTGTTGATTAGTCTCATTTTTTCAGTGTATGTTCTCTTTTTGGAGTTTTAGCTAATAGGGACTCGAAAATGTGTAGTGAGAAGCTAATAATAATATAACTTTTACATTTAATGTATACGAATAATTACTTTAAAAGTATTGTTATCATCAAAAACTGTGCTCAACCAGAAAAATCTTGAGTATCAGAAAGCATCAGACAATTATTTTGTTTTAGATTGAATCTCTTCCAAAGTGAATACCCATACGGCTTCAGAAATTAGATGGTTAATACTCTTTTGACAATTCTATGAAGAATATGATGCTGCATTAGGAAAACATTTATATCTATGTAAAAAAAAAAGAAAAATAATAATCTTGCGATGTTTGAGTTACTGATTATTTGATCAACTAGTCAATAATTCGTCTATATAATACTGTAATTCGGTAATCAATCAAATTTTAATGGTATGTGACTGTCAAAAATTGTAGAAAGTGTCAAATTAAACTTAATCTACATGATTCTGTCATAGTGCATTATCTCAAGCCAAATGAACAGTATATAATCATATGATGACTTTTATTGTTTTGCTAAACAATGATTCATGAATAATTAGTTTGGTGAATTATTGCAATTCGACCAATAAAATTCTATCAACATTAAGATATTACTAAGTTAGGGTTGTGGAGATTGTTGAGTTTGAATTGATATCATGAATGGATCAACGTTTGACCACCATCGAAAACTTGAAAGCATTGGATGACTGTTTCGTCCTAGTATGGGAATTCTCAGGGGGGAGTCGTGGATGCTCACGGCTGATTCCCACAATCGGAAAAAAAGGCCGTTCAGTGGTTCTATGTCTTCCATGATGGTCTAGCCTCATTGACTCGTGATCTCAACTATTAAAATTACTATAACATCCACAAAATCCCTTCTGATATTAATTAACATATGCTCACTAGTGACTGACTTCAATAAGTATTTCCTGGAGTTCTCGTGGGAAGCAGTGACCAGTGAAGTCTTACAATGGTGAAACAAATAACCAGACTTTATATAGTACATATACACTTCTAAATTCCGAACATGCTGAAACTGTATATCTGCTTATTTTCTATCTGCGTTTTTTTATTTAATGAATATTTGATAAAGTTTTAGGATTATAAACAGATTTATACCGCTATGTATATAGTTCATAAATAGCACTTCAAACGAACTGATTTCAGCGATACAACTGTATTTGCCGACTAATGATGCTAAGACAATTCTCTATTTTTAGTAATGTGCTGACACCAGATTATTTACTAATCATTGCTCCAGTTTTTCTGTTTCATAAATTTCGAAACTGACTTTAACGACTAGTATTTCAATGTTAGAGAATTCTTGAGGAAACTGATACTCCCTAGTTGCTTCTAAACTGAGTCAGCCAGTTTGGGCTACTACCATTGAACTTTCAGGGGTACGATTGATCACCTGTAGTACAGAGATATTTACAATAGATTTATTATTTACAAGTAACATATACAGTGATTAGTTAGTATCTTAGTCTTGGGTTCAAGTTCCGCGTGCGGAATCGTAGATGCGCACTGATGAGGAGTCCGATACTAGGATGATGTTAGGGACGATAGATCCCTAAAACTCATATTTTGTGATTTTATCATATTGATTAACTTATCGATTAAATGATTAAATAGAAGTCAATTGACGAACTTATCGATTAAATATTTGAATGGCTGTCGATTGATGAACTTACTAATTAATGTTTAAAAACATTTTACCATGACAATATCGATCGTAAATATTTGTATAAATACGCTTGACTTATGTGCCTGATTGACTTGACCTGACTTGGTATCTGCTGTTTGCCTGTAGAATACACTTTCTACGCCTTACCCAGACTTCTTGATCGAGTTAGCTGAGTCGGAGACAACGGACCAGAATAGCCTATCGAGATTCTGAATTCATTGATTCGATCGATAAGTCACTGCCCTCTAATCGGTGGCCTTTGAGACATAAGGGATGAAACGGCCGTCAAGTGCCTTCAGGTATTCCATGGTGGTCTAGTTTCAATTGAATCATGATCTCAACTATTAAAATCTCTTTTTAAACTTGAAATTAAAGGAATGTCAACAACTTCGTTAACATAATATTTCTATTATTTTAAGATTTTCTATTTCAATTAATTATACTGTGTTACAATCATCATGCATAATCTATACTTATATCTATAGTTTTTGATGATAATCTGGAATGTAAAAAAAAACGTTTATAAACCAGTTGTCTACTACTGAAAGGAAGTACCACTATATTTTTTTTTCTTATGTGTGAGCAGGATACACGTATTATTAACTGATGTAAACAAACATTTAAGTGTGTGGTCTATCAAGTTATCAATCGATTAAGTTACCCACCTGCTTACATTTTAATGTAACGAACGTATTTTATTGTGCTTACTTTGTACTATTTTCTAAGTAATATTTTAATATTACCATCTGATTGATTATTCTTTGTTAGATTATATTTATTTATATAATAATACTATAAATATTGTAATACCATTTATGATATATTTTGTTTATGACACATGGATTACTTTTTGTATGAACAGAAATGTAGACCGATTTACCTACTTGTATGTTGATTATTTTCTTTTACTTATACTGTAAACCTTTTTGAAAAGAGTATAGCTGACTGTATTCCGTGATATATATAACATGACAGGTAGGAATCGTTCCATGAGTTAATCATTTCCCCCTTTATCGACATTATTTTTTATGACATACTTTGAACATACATAAGATTTTGCTTGACAGACGTTCTACAAAATAGGGTCATTAATTTATATCACTGATTAGAATTGACGGACTTCCTCAATTTACCTAGACTCTATCAATCATTATTTCTAGAGGTTATTCCTGAGATTGGGGTGAAATATTTTATTATCTTGAAGGTATGACAGAAGAGTGTACCAGTAATTCAGTGTTCTATAATATACCTTTATGTAACCTAGTTGAACTGTAGAAACTGTGTAAATTTTTTAAAACTTGAACACCTACCTCAGCAATGTTGTTTCTAGGTTATACAGAGATCGTTCGATATCCGTTAAGTAGTCATCCTCAATATGTCTCTGTCTATGAAAAATGAGAGTTGAATAACCAGGAAACTAAAAAAAATATTTATCAGTACATTTTCACATTTGTTAAGCTACTATACTTCTGACTTAAATTGTTCATTATTTTCTAACTACGGCTACTACGCCATCATTCTAGCATATAAACTTATAATAATCTATAGGACATGTATGTTGAATAAATTAATATTTAGAATTGATTTATTAAACTCAAACACTAGTATTAGAATAGGGGTTTGTGGAGTTGAATTCATGAGTCGATGTAAGCTAGACCGTGGTTGTGCGCTGCTAAAGTGTCCCATACTAGGATGAAACAACCGTCTAATGCTTCTAGGTTTTCAAATGTAGTCCAACTTACATCAACTCATGAATTCAACTATTAAATACTAGTTTCAAGAGTTCAACAAATAAACCATACACCCATATTATGAAGAGTTTATCTATTTAAAAAATCATCTACTTTCGAAAAGAAATATCACTAAGTGATATTAATCATTGACAAATAAAATGATTGTAATAATTCTATAAATAAAATATGTAAAAAAAATTTACTTGATTCCAATAGTTGAGTTCATGAATCGATTGAAGCTAGACCACAATCGAAAACCTGAAAACACTGCATAACCGTTTCATCCTAGTATGGGACTCCTTACAAGTGTGGTTCCACGATCCTATCTAGCGAGATTCAAACATGACACCTATAGGTCTCACATACGAACACTTAACCTCTACACCACTGAGCCAGTCGGTATCCAACAGTGTTAATGTATAACTTCAACTAATTCACCAAATTGAACGACACATTCACCATTGTTTTCAGTCAGTTACTATCTCACAACAGACTTGAATGAACTCCACTAGTCACTGCTTCTCACTAGAACTCGAAGAAATACCTCTTGAACTTAGTCACTAGTGAGTATATGTTGGTTAATATCAGAAGGAGTTTTTTTCTGGATATTATAATCATTTCAATAGTTAAAATGATGAGTTAATTGAAGTTAGACAACCATTTAATTTGAATGATTATTTCATTAATAATATTTCCTTTGATTAAAAAAATATATTTCAACGAATCCTAAACATCATAAAACACAATACTCATAAAATTAATCAATTGGAAGGAGTTTAAACATTTTAAATTCATAATTAACCATTAATACTATTTGTTATTATGATAAACTAAAACTGTTAACCCTATTTGGTTACTTTCATCAATGATAATATAAATCTTTAATGAAATGAATAGAATATCGAATCCGGAAATGTTCAGTCTATTGACATTTGTTATAAACAAAATTATTGTCTGTTTGTTTGTTTGTTTGTTTTGAAAACAAAAGGAATTCTGCACTAATGAATCTAAAAATGAAACTTTTTTGTTGTTTTTGATATATTCTAGTTCTATGTTATTCAAGTGTATTAAACAATCTATTCAATTAATCTTAGAAATAAAGTAACTTGAAATAGTAAGTTCTAACCACAGGATATGCATGTTCTTTTTTCTTTTTCATCTATCTCATTTCTGTTTTAATATTATAACAAATATAGACTATTTATATATCGTAGACAATCATTGTTGTGTTATTTAATTGAGATCATGAACTGATTAATGTTATACCACCATTGAAAACCTGGAAGCACTGGACGGTCGTTTCGTCCTATTGTGGGACTCTTCAGCGATGCGCATCCACGATCCCGCTTGTGGGATTCGAATCTAGGGCCTTCAGTCTCGCGTGCAAACGCTTAACCTACTGGACCACTTAGCCGGCATTCAATGGTGTTAATGTCTAACCTCAACAGATCCACGAAATCGCGCGACCATCTTCTGTTGTACTGAGGTAGACACCTGTTTCTACGCGACACAGGTTGTGTTATTTACCTTATAAAATATCATCACAGTACTACAATTTGACAATCTAAATATTAGAGTACTAGTTTGATTCATCAACTTTACTTCAATTTTTTCATTGTAATTCATGAAATAGTCTTAAACATTAGTTAATCAATGGCTTTGTAAATGATACTCCTACATTTGGGTTGAATTATAATTTAGGTTTGAGTTGTAATGAGATAAAAACCAAGATTTAGATGAATTCACTCAATGACCTCCTATCATATTCTAATTTTGAGTCCTGAACAGTATAGAAAGCATAAATCTTATGGCTCAGAGAAGACTGGGTCCTTTGTGCAAAGAATCCATATATATCAACAGACTTTGATGAATGTGATTCATAATATTAACAACGAAAGTTTACAAATCGTAAAAATGTTATCTAAGCTGTACTTCAAAGTTTTGGTCGGTACGTGAAATCAAATAATGCTTAAATTATAATTAATTTAAAATTAAACGTATTTTCGCCACATTTTATGTTGTTCATATGATAGAGGTTGAGATTTATCATGACCCATTTCATAAATTATTATTGTATTTTATTGATATGAAATCCATAGGTTCCATGAAGTGATTTTTGCATTCATTCATGATAGATATATACGGTCATAAAATGTTTACTCATAACATATTCAACTTAATCAACCCGATTAACAATAAACACTGAACAACAGTAGGTAACTATTTGTAAATCTATAACATCATTATACCAACATAATAGTCATCAGTTTTTAATGTTGATTTATGAGTGATTAGATGAAAGACCAAAGTTCCTATTGTTGGACTAACATCGTAGATATTGATTTATTCGTCTTCATGACAAATCTCTTACTATTGTATCATATAAATTCTAACGTAAAATTGAATGGCGAGTTATTTTCACTAATAATAAGATAACTAACTGTATTTACCATAAATAAACCTTCCTTTTATTTTAACTATCAATTTATAAACTAATATCATAAATATTCCAATCAACCATAGAAATACTCAGATTTTCTCTTTCAGTTTTGTCAGGAATTAGAAAGTATCCAGTATTATATGAACTTTCTAGCCAAAATTTTACACACTCTAAAGTTGTTGTCGTTAGATTTACTACTGTATTCAAAGTACCATTAAATGATTAATGGTTAAGATATTAAAAATTATCAAAACTGTTTAGACTACAGTTCTTGGTGACTGAATAAAAATATATACGGATGAAATTATTATTTACTTTGTTTATCCCTTTATTCTCGCCGTCTAGAATAGTAAACATTTTGAATAGGTCATTTCAACCTTTTAAAAATTCCAATGAATATTAAATAGATATACAAAAAAGGAAGTATATTCTTCCGAATAAATCTCCATCAAATTCCACAGTTTAAATGAATTATCTAAAAGATTATTCAAACTGGTTTTTTGACAGTTGTAATGTTATTCTACCATAAATTCCTAAAAACTTCAGCTGTAGCTCTTCTAGGACTGCTGCCGGTCACAAGCCTGAGTAAGAAGGAGGGTTGAGAGTGGGGTTGGTAACCCCATCCCATAGAAAACAATGCTGCCAAAAAAACGTTAACCAGGATAAACAATTTAAATTATTTAAACTCTGCCCTTCGAGTTCAAGGAAAGAATTGTGCAGGAAAGAATTATTGGATAGAGAATTCTGGTGAGTGGTCTATTCTCCTCAATGATGGGTAACAGGTGTAAGTAAGTGAGTAAGACAAATTCTTAATACTATCCACCATATTTTTAAAAAGATACATTTTACTCAGACTTGACTATTACTCTGAATCATTCATTTGAATCTTGAATCAGTTGAGAATTTATTATAGAAAGAACATGCTATAATAATAATAAATTACTATAATATCCATAAAATTCCCTTCTGATATTAACCAACATATACTCACTAGTGACTAAGTTCAAGAGGTATTTCTTCGAGTTCTAGTGAGAAGCAGTGACTAGTGGAGTTCAATCAGGTCTGTTGTGAGATAGTAACTGACTGAAAACAATGGTGAATGTGTCGTTCAATTTGGTGAATTAATTGAAGTTATATATTACTACCGTTGGTGCTGACTGGCTCAGTGGTGTAGAGGTTCATCATTTGCATGCGAGACCGATAAGTCCTGGTTTCTAATCTTGTGAAACGGGATGGTGGATGCGCACTTCTGATGAATCTCACACTAGGATGAAACGGCTATGCAGTATTTTCAGGTTTTCGATTGTGGTCTAGCTTCAATTGACTCATGAACTCAACTATTGAAATCACTATAATATCCACAAAACCCCTTCCTGATAATAAGAAAATGTCTTTTTTGCCTTTCCAGAAATTCAGTAGACTAAATTATATGAATGAAATTAATAGTTTTTTTAAATAAAAAAAGTGACTTACGTATGGATAATAAATTGAGTAATTCGCCCATAGTTATTGCCAAATGCTATATCAATTGAATTGAACTGCTAATATATAGATTCAATGTATCCCATAGAAATGAATAAAGCAATTTTATATTTAAAATGTTTATAGACTTTGAAACATCATGTGTTATAACAATGGACTGTTTTTGTTTGTTTGTTTTTTGTAAGTAACAAAGAACGCTTTCAAATAAATGATGTAATCTGACCAGAATTATTGTTTTTTTCTTCTTTTTAATGATTGTATTAAATCTGAACTAAATATGTGGGAAGATAAAAGCAAACAACACCAAATGAATTTAAACTTCACCCGATTGCATAAGCTAGTGACTATCAGGACATAGTAGCTAAGTGGATAACGTGATAGGGTTTGAAACGAACGGTACTGGATTCGAGTCCCAGAGTGAACATCAACTCTAGGATGCAGGTAAATCCGACTGACGAATCCGGATATAGGACGAAACTCGTGTCCTGAACTCTACTGCTAGTCACTATCCATCTTTGCTTATAAAGATTGTGAGTTAATGTAATACCGAGGCAATCCTCAGACGATACACATATGACAATAAGAGATTATCAGAATGAGTTTTGTGGAGATTTTAGTAAATTTCACAGGTTGAAATCATGAGTCAGTTGAAGCTAGACCACCATTGAAAACCTGGAAGCACTGGACGGCCGTTTTGTCCTAGTATGGGACTCCTCAGCAGTGCTCGCTCGCGAAGCCAGTAGGTCCTGGGTTCGAATCCCGCAGGGGGCGGGATCGTGGATGCGCACTGCTGAGGAGTCCCATACTAGGACGAAACGGCCGTCCAGTGCTTCCAGGTTTTCAATGGTGGTCTAGCTTCAACTGACTCATGATTTCAACCTGTGAAATAATAGATTAATCAAACACAATCCTAAACATCAATGAAAAGATTTAAATAACCAATATAAAAATGAAGTGTATTGTTATGCTTTAATAATCTTCAACGTATATCTATAAATGCATTAACCGAATGTGAACACACAAAAAATTGACTGATAAACTATATTCACTTTTCATCTGAGAAAAAAACTCCCTTCACATTTCATACAGAACATGTATTTGAGGTTCTTAAACAAAAGATATGCATTCTTGAATTGTTTATCACTTTTTTTCTTTATAACTTAAATGATGAATGAATTATTTCAGTATATTAATGTTGTCATGTTTATTTTCTATAAAAAGTTGGATATTCTTTATGCTTATAATGTTTATGATTTGTCTAGACAGATTGGATCCAGACAGAGAAAGTAATCACAGATCTCTATTGAAAACTTGTCTATCATTCTAACTAGGTGAGAGTAAATAAAAATGATGAATTTAATCTAATTCATTGTTGAAAATTAGTTATCACAATTAATTACTTTATGTTTAAATTTGAAAATGAGGATGTTTACCGGGTTGTTTGCGGGAGGGCGGGGTCGTAGACGCGCACTGCTGAGGAGTCCCAAACTTCCAGGTTTGCCATGGTGGTTTAGATTCAATCGACTCATGATTTCAACTAATGAAATTACTAAAATCTCCACAAAACCCCTTCTGATAATAATCATCTGCTCACTAGTGACTGAATTCAATAGGCATTTCCTGGAGTTCTAGTGAGAAGCCGTGGCCAATGGACTTCAACCAGGTCTGTTGTGAGATATTAGCTCACTGAAGACAATGGTGGACGGTGGCGCAATATATATATATATATATATATATATATATATATATATATATATATATATATATATCAAAATTTAAGTGCTTGGTAGTCACTATTGACAAAATGGCCAGAAGCTTTAAAATGTTGGTTAACATCATTCATTCAAATGATTTCAAATCCTCATAAAGAGTATAGTAGCACAAAGGATGATTACATTTAGTCTTTTATAAGTGATATACTTCTAAGATGATGACTCAGAAAGATAATCGAGTATAGTTGTACATGTAAACAAACAAAGAAATATTCTTTCAAATTTGATAGTGATTTATCACTATTTCAGATATTTTTCTATAATTGTGATATTCTTAGACAAACAATTCCGCTAACACTTATAGTCAAATATTACCGTGTAGATTATTGTCAATATTCACGTTAGAACAAAAATAACCTGATTCAGTAGACTGGAATAGATGACCTGATATAGATATCAAATGTAGTTTACCTAAGTATCAATACAATAATGTTGAATGATAAGAAATGTAAAAGCATTTATCCGATGATATCTAAACAATTTTAAAAAATACCCTTAGGATTAATTCATTAAATAAGTATTATTAGAATAAGACATAATATTGTTGTGCAACAAATACATTATGCCATCAAATTTGTTATGACTGGTCGTCAGTTGTTATATCTGCTAGTCGCCAATTGATGTGTCGGAATTGCTTATTACCTATGCTTGTTAAATGAGGAACAATTGCGATCGCCACGACGCGAAGTTAGAGTACCAAAACTGATACAAGATTTATTAAACCGCAAAACACAACAATCCTAGTTGAAAATACACTCATCTATATATTGATTGTAAACCTATTTGATCAATAATTAGAATGAGATCATATATATGAAAAATACAGAGTTAGAATAAATTACATGTTGCATGTCATACTGTGTATAGTTCATGTTAAATTAATACAAGAATATATCTTGAATAAACATCACCATTACACAAACAGGTGGCTA